TTTTCTAAATGTCTTTTAAACATTGTAACTGTACCCTATCTACCACTTCCTCTGGAAGTTCATTCCACACGCAAACCACTCTGTGTAAAAAAAAGCCTCTTGTCTTTTATAAGTTTCTCCTCTCACCTTAAAAATATGCCCCCTAGTCTTGAAATCCCTCACCCTAGGGAAAAGACATCTGCCATTCACCTTATCTATCCCCCTCATGGTTTTATAAACATCTATAAGTTTACCGCTCAACCCCCTATGCTCCAGATAAAATTCCCAGCCTATCCAGCCTCTCCTTATAACTCAAACTCTCCATTCCCGGCAACATCCTGGTAAATCCTTTCTGAGCTCTCTCCAGTTTAACAATATCCTTCCTATAACAGGGCGACCAGAACTGCACACAGTGCTCCAGAAGAGGCCTCACTAATGTCCTGTACAACCTCAACATGACGTCCCAACCCCTACACTCAAAGGTCTGAGCTCTGAAGGTAAGTGTGCTAAACACTTTCTTAACCATGTTGTCGCCCTGTAACACAAATTTCAAAGTCCCCAGGGCTCTACATTTACTTGTGTAAGTCCTGCCCTTGTTTGTTGCTCCCAAAATGTAACACCTCACATTTATCCAAATTAAACTCCATCTGCCACTCCTCAGCCCATTGACCCAATTGATCAAGATCTCTTCGTAATCTTAGATAACATTCTTCACTGTCTACTAAAGCACCATTTTGGTGTCATCTGCAAACTTACTAACCATGACTCCTATAGTCTCATCCAAATCATTTATATAAATATCAAATAAAAGTGGACCCAGCACCGATCCCTGTGGAACACTGCTGGTCACAAAAAAAAACCCTCTACCATTACCTCTGTATCCTGCTGCTCAGTCAATTTTGTATCCAATCGGCAAGCTCACCCTGAATCCTATGTTTTCTAACTTTACTAATTAGTCTACCATGCTGAATCTTGTCGAAGGCTTTACTAAAGTTTGAGTAAACAACATCTACTGCTCTGCCCTCGTCAATCTTCCCAGTTACAAAAAACTCAAATCCTCAAAAAACCTCAATCAAGTTTGTGAGACACAGTTTCCCTCACACAAAACCATGCTGACATTCCCTAATCAGTCCCTGCCTCTGCAAACGCATGTAAATCCCATCTCTCAGAATCACCTCCAACAACATACCCACCCACCCATGTCAGACTCACGGGACTGTAGTTCCCAGGCTTCTCCTTACATCCTTTCTTAAACAAAGGCACAACATTAGCCTCAAAGGCACTCACTCGTGTTTATAGACGACACAAATATTTCTGCAAGGGACCCCAGAATTTCCTCCCTAACTTCCCACAAAGTCCTGGGACACACAAGATCAGGTCCCAGAGATTTATCCACCATTATATTTTCTAAGCCCTCCAGCACTTGCTCTTCTGTAATGTGGACTGTTTTCAAAACATCAGGATTTATTACCCTAAGAATGCCCCCAATTTCTTTATACTGTCTTGCTTTCTTTCCTTCTCTCACTCTCTCCCGTTCACTCTCTGCCTCACACTCTCACTCTCTCCCACTCACACCCAGTCTCTCTTACTCGCTCACCCACCCTCACTCTCACTCTTTCCGCCATCATTAAAAGGCCTAACCCACTTCCCAGGAGCATTCTCTCCAATTCCATTCAGTCCCACTGAAGGAGAGTGAGGGCTTCAATCTGAATCATACCTTCTCCATCACTGCTGCTGCTGTGAAAACAGGGGAGTCGCGGTTTGTCCGATGGAATGATAAACATCAGCACCGAAATGAACATCACCACTGTCGCATCGGTAACGAAACTGAAGAGAGAGAGTGAGAGTGTGTGTCAGAGAGTGAGTTAGAGAGAGAGAGTCAGAGAGAGTGAGAGAGAGTCAGAGAGGGTGAGAGAGGGAGAGGG